GGGAGAAGAGGTCAGTTAAGTCAGTTGACATGGTTGTGAACCTTCATCTACTGAGATGTGTTACATATGCCTAGTCACCTTCTGCCTCGACACACAATGTTGACCAAAGTAGGTCGAGGCTGGGAAATGGGTGGAAGTGACCAGAGTAAAAGATGGGATGAATGTATGAAGTTTGAATGTTGGTCTAAGTCATGTAAGGTGGCGATGCATACTGGGTGGTTGGAGTCAGTGGGACTAGAGAAACCAGTGATTGGAGACTGACTGTAGGTGATATGGGTGAGAACCGATGTCAGTGTCACAGATGTGTATATACACACGCACACGCACATTATCCTCATCTTAACGAAGCTATACGGAATCTCACCATTTTCTCATTCTTCTCTTTCTCTCTTTTAGTATTTTATATTTCTTTTGACTAGATTTTCTTTCCTGTATCTTCCACTTGACTGGCTTTTACTTGATGTGCTGATACGAGGTATGACAAGTGGTACCGTTACGCAGTAATGTCTGGTCCTATGTTGACTTGGATGAATGGTTACGCATTGAAATGTTTCCCTTTAATGAATATCAATACCGTGCTGATGCTATCTTCTCTCTTGGAAGTAGACTGTTAGAAAAAATTGACCTGGGATTAGAACAACCAAACCTTACACCGGCAAACTTCATAAGTCTGTGTATTACAGGGCACAAATAAAGGTCTCACGGGCTCTGTGGTCTTTTATCGAGCCTTCAGAAACACCTTCTGTGGTATGGGCAGTCGGGAAATGTTCACCATCTTCACCTTTTCAGCAGTGCGAAAAGCCAAATTGTCTGCTATTTTTCCTTCACTTTCTGATGCTAACATAATAATAAACCTCTTAGAACCTCCTCAACCTCTCACTCTGTGACCGTACTTTAACCAGGAATTTGAGTATGGTCGAGTTGTGTTTCCCTCTTGTTAGATTTAAAGTGATGCTTCTGAACTGGTGTGGAGCTTACTACTAGTTTAAAGAAAGGAAGTGAACTGATAGAATGGAATGACCACTTCACTTACTCAGCGAGTTGCATCAGCTTAATCACCCCGATGAAATCTCAACTCGGATAAAGAAGTCTCGTATGGTGTGTGTCATCTCTGGCGCCAATCAGTGAGATGTCCGGCTACCTATCAAATGGACGAGTATACTGTGCTGCACTTTGATGTACCTCACCAAACGATTTTCAGACATGGCGCCTAAAGTAAACTATGAGGAGATTATAGGTTTTGACCACAGGCGTCTTTGCAACATTGCTCACTTATGGTGGGATCACTGTTAGCAGTGTTATACATTAGGCTAAGGGTAGTTAGAGAGGTAAAGAAGTCAGTTGGTGAGGCTGTAAACCTTAGTCGACTGAGATGGCTTGGATATGTATTGCACATGCCGAATCATTGCCTGTCTCGACTTGTTGTGTTAAGGGAAGTTAGATTAGGTTAGAAGAAGACTCATGGCGGTCATTCGATAAATCCTCTGACTGTTGGTCTAAGCCGTATAGGGAGATGTAGACTGCCTAGCAGGGTTACCGAGGTCACAGGCATAAGTTGTTGAGGAAGTTTGGTGAAATGGCTGAAAATTGGTCATAGCGGCGTAGACGTACTCACTCTTTGACGTCTTCCTAAACTTTAACATTTTCCCTAACCTTTATTTTTCAAATCTTTTCTTCTCCCACATACTTTTGTCTCGTCTGATATTATTCTTTTTCTTTACATACTGCTGTGATTTATGGTAACTTGAGCGGATAAACTACTGTGATTCGTCTGTCTGTCTTGATGTCAATGAGATTCATGTTTACTTTTCATATGGAAATTATTTCCTATTAGTGTTATTATACCGTTGTTGATTGGACCAATTTGATTGGTCTCTATTGGGATATGGGCTCCTGCGTGGGAGCCAATAGAAACCGATCGATTCAGTCCAATCAACGACTGTGTAATGTGAAAAATTCTTACTAAAACTATACATGTTGCACAAGTAGTGGCTATCGTGGCTCGATGGTCTACTGGATAACGCTCTGGCCTTTGAAGCGATCGGTCCCGAGTTCGAGTCCCGGCGGGTATAACATCACTCACTGGGAAGCAGGTACGTCCAGCTGACGAGTCCCGAATAGGACGAAATGCGAGTCTTGGATTCCACTGCTAGCCACTATCCATCATTACTATATATAACTGTTTCGTATGTTTGTTTATATCATCACGCTGTTGATTTGACCGAATTGATCCTTTTCTATTGACATATGGGCCTCTGCGCTGATGCTTCCTTATTGCCTGTCATTTAGATTTTACGATAATAATGGGTAGTGGATAACAGTAGAATCCAGGACGCATGTTTAGTCCTATTTGGGGATCATCAGAGGGATATACCTTCCTCCCAGTGAGCAATGTTGTTCCCAGTAAGACTCGAGCCCATAAGAATTAGTTTGAAAATGAAATATTATAATTTCTCTGGTATATTTATTATACGGTAAATTATGCTGAAACTATATTATCATTATGACTATCTGAGTTAGCAGTCGTGATTTGGTAGACTAGTAATGATTGCTACTGGGTGTCTATTGAAGGTGAAATGAAAATTTGAACCTCGGCCGGATTGGAACCAGCGACCACCAGGTTTCCGTGGTGATGCTCTACCAACTGAGCTACGACGTCCAACTGCTGGCTAGGTTTTCTATTTCACTTCAATCACAAGCGAGATTTCGCCTGACTAGTATATGAAATTATATTATATTATCGTACGCCATTAGTAAGTTATAAAATTCATTGGTGTAATCAATAGCAGTGTTTACGATCGCCTAATAATGCGCTTTCTTTCGTATCACTGTCTCCCGCATACCACTTTTTTGTGTGCAAATATGCTTCATCTATTCCATGCTCTCCTGATTATAATAAATTAAAGGAAAACTGGCTAACATGTTGTAGTCTGTTATCTAGCTATTTAAACTACCCAATTCTTCTGAATAGTTTGCTTCGATGATAACAAGGAAAATGGTCTATATATTTCATATTGATTCAAATAGAGGTGTTATTTTCAATCTCTACTAAGATTTTTCTGCGCTAAATAATTGTAAAAAGGGAATGTAAATGTTATTCAATGTTCATTGACAAAAATAATTTAGTGTTTAAATAAATTCAACATTTGAATCTATTCGAGGACTATTCAAATACTGTATGTATAATGAGCATGCTAAGTCATTGCTTATCTTGCTGCGTACTATGCTAGGAGATGTTGGATTAGGTTGTAAGAGAGAATTTAGGGTGGCGAAACCAAAACGTGCCACCAGTTGATGAAGTGTATGACTATTGGTCTGAGCTGTATGCGAAGATTGTAGACTACCTGATTGACGTCCTTGAAACAAAAGGAATGGACAAGATGTGGTTGCAGCGATGGAAAAATTTTCGACAAAGTCATTTACTACTAAGCTACAGTGGATAGAACGTTCCAGAATTATTTCTGGTTAGGGGGTAAAATATGTTGGATAGCTAAACGAAGTTAATTAATACACATTTCAGTTTAGAGGGGGGGGGAAACAAGGAATTACGAAAATACATGTTACCTAATACAAGATGAATCTGTGAAAGTCAAGGCTTTATGATGGCCATCAGTCATCAGTATCAATATAAGATCAGGCATTACTGCGTAACGGTCCCACTTACCACACCTCATATCAGTACATCAAGTAGAAAGGTAGTGAGGTAAAGGATGAAGATAAGAAAATGTAGTCAAAAGAAATATAAAGTACGAAAAGAGAGAAATGAAGAATGAGAAAATGGTGAGATTCGGTATAGCCTCATTAAGATGATGAAAATGTTTGTATGCATCTGCACCACTGACATCGGTTCTGAGCCATATCACCTAGAGTCTCCAACCACTGGGTCCTCTTGTCCTGTGGACCCCATCCGGCTAGTGTGTATCACCCCACATGGCTCAAACCAACAGTCAGAGACTTCATGCCTTGATCTTACTCTCTTTGAGTGGTTTGATCGAACGCTACAGAGAATTTTGAATGAGCTCTCAAAAGGAGGTAAGTGGTTTGAGTTCACGAGGTATTCTGTTATTGAAGTGAAGATACACTTCCGTTCTCCCTTTGCCAGGCTGGGTAGTGTTCGTAGGCACGTTTTACAAGCGGATGCATGATACGATCGATGTACTCAGCTCCACAAGAGCAATTAAAGTGGTTTACACAGACTGATATGGCTCAGTGCATCGGCTTGCCTTTCACACATTAACCAAGACGTTTCTTGTATGAAAAGATAATCCTAAGGTTGGTGGTGAAGTAGGAATAAGTGGTTGAGGGTTGATTCTTGGTGACATTGCTGAAAATCGATCGCAATGGTGCAGATCTGTATTCACTCCTTGACGTCTTCTGAAGCTTGAGTAATTATACTAATTGTTATCTTTAGATTGTTTATTCTCTCACAAAAATCTAATGTTGGTCAGATGTAATTCTGTGTTGTAACTTATCAGGCAGCGAAGATCTCTAGTCAAAGTGATATTCTGATGGCATAAAATATGTATCTTTTGAAACATGTGGTACTTCCTCTGAACTTTTATCATTTTCACAGTTATTTGTTATTGAAAACCTAAGGTGATACACACACCATGGCGCCGCCGTGATACCCGTTTGTCTATTAAGGGTCGCGTGTACTTTACAACAGTCCAATCTGTTCTACTGTATGTCTGTGAAACATGGCCATTGAAGGTGGTGTCACCACGTAACGCAAACGTAAGGTGTAAAGTTTTAGGGAGTAGAGGTAAATCAATTGACGAGGTTATGAACCTTCATCAACTGAGATGGTTGAGATACGTACTATGACTTCTGTGCATGGATGGCGCGTAATGGTAATTACAATATTTATTGATTAACGGTTGACCATCTGTGATTTTCACTGCACAGCGGTAGTAGTTCCTTCTGTAAAAAAAATTGTCTGATTTTCATTTTATTCATGTCATAATTTTTTTTCTCCTCCTTCTCGTCTCTTTTTTGTTTAGCTTGTCCCAAGACGTTGTCTTTGGTTATTTGTATTCAAAGATACAATGATGTCGATATCAGGTCAACATCCACAATTGTTTAGCCATAATTTAATTTCATTGATGAAAGGTCGGACAGCACAAACACGATTTCTTCATAAGTGAGTGGGTTTTTTTGTTTGGACACTGTGGTAGAATGTTATTCCATATTGGCTCCGTTTATTTGATGATGCATACCACACAGTGATGCGGTATTATTTACTTGATAACGACCTTTCGAGCATAAATTATTGCCATTAATCATATCAATGTAAGCACACCACTTTCAATAACGGAAAACCGACACATTCTAACAGGTATCTAGACTTCAGGTCGTATCATTCAATATCAGCTAGTTAGGGCAGGTTTTGTCAAATGTCTAAATCATAAAGCTACAACACTCACTAGTCAGTGCAAGGACTAATAAGAAAGGCGTGTCTAGTAAGTACATCATCTTATTGGAGGCTCTCTACTCCAACACTTGTGGGCATGTTAGACCTTATGGTGAGATGTCCGGGAGCTGTGCTCATCGACTGATACCCGTCAATGCTGCCCACTCTCTCCATTCTTATTCTATTTTATCATAGATATTCTCATGGAGGTCTCCCTCTCGTCACCTGATTACACAGACGTTGACCTAACCACTGGAAAATTTTCGTGAGACCTAGAACATGCAGATGACATAGTCTTGTTAGGTGAAGACGGTGACTGATGAGATGCAGAATCTTCTGAGCACTTTGAGTGTCAATTTGAGAATGTTTAGGATGCGTTTCTCACCACCTAAATGCAAATTACTGCTTCAAGATTCGTTTTCAATGCTGCCACATCTAACAATAGACAGTGAAGTGGTTCACTTTGTTCACCACTTGACTCACCTCGGAAGTTACATCAGCCCTCATGGCTCAGTGACCGATGAAATTTCTGCACGAATACAAAAGACTCGGTTGACTTTTGCCAACTTACTCCACTTCAGGGCCGACGTGATTCATTATTAGAGGCGCGTGTACTACACAATAGTCCACTCTGTTCTACTGTATGTCTGCGAAACGTGGCCACTCAACGTGGAAGACAGCAAAAGCCTTCAAGTGTTTGACCACCGTTGCCATCGTAGTACGAGCCGTATTTCGTGGTGTCAGCATGTGAGTGACGCAGCAGTAGTTAGATGTAGGTGTAGAATTTGAGGAAGAAGAGGTAGGTCACTTGAAACAGGTAGTGTTGAAACGTATAAACTCACCCTGAGACAAGCTTTATCTGCCTCAGCATCCCACAGAACCAAGTAAGCGAAGTAGTTTAATCTAATATTGTGAAAGTATTAAGACCATGGTGATATAAGAGATTGATGAGACTTTTTTTACACACAGAGATCAAGATTGAATTGTCAAGGTTTCTACTGTGCACTACTGTCAAAGGAGGACTCTGGTTCAGAGGTGAATGTCCACAGTTGATTAAATGTTCAACAATTGAACTGTTATTTGTGATTTACATTCTCCCCTCAACAAATATCCAGGATAGTGCTAGTGCTTAGAGATAGGGTTTAGAAAGTGTACGCTTTTCGCCTTCAATTCTTCAACATTTTAGTCAACTCTGGACAGAAAACTCGACTAGACTCCTTCTTCACTGTCACTTATACAGTCAAAAGGAGTACGCCCTCAACAGTTGTGCACACCAGAAGTTCTGGTAAGTAATTCACCTATTCATGTAATCTATCAAATTCCATGTAATGACTGCCGCGAGTCAGGTCGAGTACGTAGTTGAAACTAGCCTGGTTGGTGGGGATCAGTTAGAATAGTGGAACATAGGAATATAGCTAAACATAGTAGAATGACAAACCCGAATAAGATCAATAATGTAGGGAGTAACTCGACTATTGCATTGCATGTATGTATATGTGAACACACAGCCACACACAATAGAGTGGGATAAAGCCACTCTACTCAAGTCGAATATAGTTAGGTGGAGAGAGAGAGAGAGGAGATTGCTGACTGAATCTTTGTTCATCGAATCAACACTCACCCAACACCTTTAAATAGGAATGATACTAGTAAGTACTACAAACAAATAACATGAGGTGATAGGACTATGAAAAGGAGATATCGAAAGGGTTGTGATTACAATCATATGATTATGATCAATGATAATTTATGCTGAAAACATCATCATAATCAAGTAAATAATACTGTTGTATTACTGTGTGCCAGTTATGTCAAATAAACAAATCTAATATGGAATTACAATACAGATTGGTTAGAAAGAAGGGGGTGTAAGCGTAGCTCTACTTTATGTTACATTGCTATGAGTCAAATTAACAATATGAGAGCTATGATAATTCTTCACTGCCTACTCTGAAGTATGTAAAATAGTCTTTGAAGCTGAGACCCGTGAAGTGAAATTCGATGGGTGGATTCAATGAACGACACCCTCAGTGATTCAACTGCAAATTATATTATTGTCTTGGTGCTGTTAACTCGTCCATAATCGTCCGTCTTTTGTTGAGTCAGCTTTAAAACCTTGGAATGTTTCGCTTAGTGTGTGTGTGTGTCACCTCTGAGCTGTTGGCTCGGAATTCATTGTCAGTCAATTATTCATAATACACCTTATGATTGATTATCTTCCTACAACATAATTTCTATTTGTTGCTATGAGTATCGAGTTAGTTGATTGACAAGGGGTTACAGTTTCTCACTAGAGTGTTAGGTAGAAGGCATTATTATCCAGCATTTAACTTCTTTGAGACATTTTATTAATTTGCAACAATATTCCTTAAGATACGTAGAGACGCCAGAGATGATGAAGATACCAACCAACACCGCCAACAGTAACAACAAGCTCCATTCACCATCAATGGGAAAAACTCAAAGGAAGTAGCCTCTTTCACGTATCTAGGCAGGCAGCTTCGTTTCAACTACAGGCGGTACAGGCATAGATGAGCATGTCAAAGCAGCCAGGATCAGAAAAGCAAGACAGGCGTTCATTAGCTTGAAATAAGTGTGGAGATCTTCTGCACTCAGCATAAAGGTTGAACAAGATCCGGATCTTCAACACCAACGTCAAGTCAGTGCTTCTGTATAGTTCAGAAACTTAGCGCGTATGAAAGGGATTTTCAACAAACTACAGACATTCATCAACAATTGCCTACGCTGACTCGTTACTGAAGTTCAGATGACCAGAAAGAATAAGCAAGACGGAACTATGGCATGGTAACGAACCAACCAAGAACCTATCACTCAACAAATATGCACTGGAAGGAAGTGGACATGGATTGGGCGCACACTGAGAAGGCCGACTGGGGACATCACGCGACAGGCCAGTTGCTCGAGTGGAACCCAGATGGGAAGCGACGAGTTGGGGGTTCGAGGTGAGGTTGACATTGAGGAGATGGTATGAGGAAGAAATGAGAGCTTATGGGCAGTCATGGAGCCAGGTTCAAAAGATTTCAGAGAACAGAGAGTACTAGAGACATGCTACTGAATCCTTATGTTCCATCAGGAACCCAAAGGACAAATAATAATAATAATTTCGTAAGATACAGATAATTGTATTCACGACTTCTTTATGATAACATGGAATGAGTCTTTTGACCAAGCAGTTTCAGCATCAATATTTACAACTAAACATTTTACGATTTTTATACATTTGTTCAAAAATATGCTGCTATGACTGACATTTCGTATTCTAGACTACTCACACCGTCAGCAGTGCACGCTAGCCAGATCATAGTGATCTAAACACTAAATGGACATTTCGCTGACTTGGAGTCGAGCTTATCAGCGATGTCTTCTGTATTGGTTCACGTGGTTCATGTATTTCGGTATCCATAGAAAAATATAGTGAGAGATATTCCTTCATAGAGTGTGTACTTTGTAAACAACTGATTTAATTGTGAAATTGTTCCCTATCAATTAAAATTTTGCAATTTGTGTGTAATCCAAAGTTGTCTATTTTTTTCTGATGAGAATTTCGATTGAACGCCATAAAATTCAATAATCGTAGCATGTAAATTAGATTTTCATCATAGTAATTCATTATTTGCATTCCCTTTTGGTCGAATAAAAGATAGAGAAGCAAACCTAGTTACCAAAGAGAGAAAATTAAGGAAACGATGGGCTGATCACTTCAAAAAAAACTCTTGGAATCGGCCACCACCACTTGCAAATCGTTCAGAAATACTACAAGCAACTACAGTACTATCAGTAAACACAGACCTCCGACAAAAGCGGAAGTGAAGTCCTGAACACCATAAAGTTACCGAAAGCCGCGAAAGCAGCAGGACCGGATGGAATTCCTCCATAAGCATTGAAAACAGACAGAGAGACATCAGCGGACATGCTCACACCAGTATTGCAGAAGGTTTGAAAAGAAGGAGGGAATGGTACATGCTGATCGATTGGAAGAAGGGCTACTTAAGTCTTTGCAAGAACTGGTGCGGAATCATGCACCTGTCCACGCCAAGAGAAATATTAAGCCGCATCATCCTGGAGAGACTAAAAGATAATCTGGATTCAAAATTACGGCCGGAACAAGCTGGCAGGCTGGCTTCAGGAAAAACAAATCATGCGCGGATCTAAAGGAAGTTGTCTCTTTCACCTACCAACCTATCTAGGTAGCATCGTTTCAACTACAGGTGGCACAGATGAGGATGTCAAAGCAAGACAGGCCTTCATTAACCTGAAATCAGTGTGAAGATCTACTGCACTGCACTCATCATAAAGCGTGAACAACATCCGGATTGTCAACACTAATTCAGTCAAGTAAGTCAGTGTTTCCATGTGATGGTTGAGAGACTTGGCGTGTTACGAAAAGCATTTCCAACAAACTGCAGACATAAATGAACAGCTTCCGCCTACACTGACTCGATACTGAAGATGAAGATAAGATGGCTAGAAAGAATAAACAAGGAGGAGCTATGTCCTAGCAACGAACCAGCCAACCAAGAACCTATCGCCGAAGAAATATGCAGAGGCAGTAAGTGGAGATGGATTGGATGGATATACACTGAGAAGACAGTTTGAGGACATCACGTGCCAGGTAAGGTTGTAGAGTGGAACCCCAGGTTGAGACGACAAGTTGGTCGTCAGAGGTTGACATGGAGGAGATCGTTTAAAGAGCCAAGTTGAAAAGACTG